GGGCGAGTACTGCTTCGACTTAAATACCAGAGGAAGCCAGCACTTTACTGACACGGGTTCTCATTGCTGTGGTCCCAGGGGACCCTTCCTCAAGAGCAATGGAGATGAGAACAGCAAGGAGGCCGCTAAACAAAGCTGTCATCGCTCCCACCACCCAGAAGATACATGAAATGTACTTTGCCTGATTTCAGACTGTGCCAAAAGCACCAAAATACACCCCCTTTCACAGAAGCAGTCATCTTGAGCTAACCTGGAAGAATGCAGAGTTTGTGCTTAATGTATGAAACGGCAGAGAGCTGCTAAACGTGTGTTTGTTTATTTTGCTGCTCAACATTTTTGAGGCAGTTTCACCGTGGCTCACCTCCGGTGGTGCAATCTCGCAGCCACAAATGGGATGGACACTACAAACAGGAAGTACCTGGCTGTGACTTCCTGGAAACCTTCCCTAACTGTTTTTGCTCGCCCCCTTCTGGCTGAGTGGACCACATCACTAAGTGATTCATTTTATTTGTTGCAGCTGCTGACAATCGCAGGCCACGTGGCTGTGGGTCAAGGGAGGGGAAAGTTCCGTTTTGGAAAAAGGCAAAACATTTAAAATGTTCTTAACTCGTTTTTGACCATTTGGTAGTGAGTAAACCAACAGGCCATTCAGCTCCCCTAAAAGTTTCCCATGGGTTAGTTGGGGTTGGGGGTAGATGGTATTTTGATTGGGTTTTTCTTTACAGCCATTTAAATCTTTTCTTGAAGGTGCTTTTTCCCTTAGGAATCTGGTCCCTGGTGCCCAGTCACATGTTCCATGAAATAACCAACAGCTGGACTTGGAACTCCTCATCAAATCATGTCTCTTCCCGGGTTCCCTCAGGAGGAAGGCAGCCACAGCTTCTACTTTTGCTCCTTGGCTTGGTTCACAAGGTTAGTCAAATGCCCTGCCTCACAGAGTGCCCGGGTTAATGGTTTACCTAACTGGGGTAAAAGCCATATGCCACTGCAACGTTGCATTTTATTCTGTTTTCTAAACTCGTCAGCTGTTGTACACGGATGATGTCGCGTAATGCTGTGTCACTAGACTGTTGGAGAGCACACGTGCGTATTATGTTCACAGTGCTTGCTGCAAGGAGCAACAAAGACCTTCCCTTTCTGATAGTAATGTGATTTTTCTGATAACCCTGAAAAGAAAAACGAAAAAACGTGACCGACAGAGACAAGATCACACTTAGGGAATGTTTAAATCAGATGGGCTTTCAGACCTGAGAGCATTTGTAAAGCAAATGTTGATTCAAGTATAATATATGTACAGAAAAGTGCAAGGCCCGGGCCATTAGTGTTCGGCGTGATGAATTTCCACAAAGTTCTCACTCCTGTGTCATGCTCAGAGACATTATACAGTTCGTATCACAACCCCAGAAGCATTCTTGTCTCTGGTACCCAGTCACAAACCACCCCCAAGTCTTCCCTTCTGACATCATAGATTCGTTTTGCCTGGTTTTGCACTTTATGTACATGAAATCATATGTTTCGATATCTGGGTTTCCAACTTTTTAGTTATAAAGTTCATCTATGTTTTGGCACGCAGCTGTAGTTTGTTTATTTCATCATGTACATATGCCACAATTTATTTCTCCAATCAGTGATAGGTATTTGGGCAGTTTCTAGATTTTGGTTCTAGGAATACTGCTGTTATGAACGTTCTCTTTTGTTGTTGTCGTGAACATTTTTAAACCATGTATACACACTTCTATACCTAGGAATGAAATTGCTGGCTAATATACATAAAATTATATACGCACACGTATACATATCTTTAGCATTAGTAGATACTGCCAAACAGTTTTCCAAAGAGACTGTACATATGAGTTTTCTTGTTGCTTTGTGTCTTTGAAAACAGTTAGTATTTCTAAGTGTATTGTGCATATGGGAATGTGCAAGTACCCTAACTTAGAGCCCAGTGAATTTTCCTGAACTAAACACAACTATGTCATCAGCACCCAGATCCAGGAACGGTACATTAGCACTATTCCAAAGCTTCCTCCTGTTCCCTTTCAATCACCACCCTCCTTCCCACTGAGATCATTTCTATTCTGATCTCAAACTCATAGATTAATTTTAAAACATATATATATATATATATATATATATATATATATACACACACACACACACATATATATTATTGATTTTTCACAGAGAGGAAGAGGGAGGGATAGAGAGTCAGAAACATCGATGAGAGAGAGTCATCGATCAGCTGCCTCTTGCACACCTCCCACTGGGGATGTGCCCACAACCAAGGTACATGCCCTTGACCGGAATCGAACCTGGGACCTTTCGGTCCACAGGCCGACGCTCTATCCACTGAGCCAAACCGGTTTGGGCAACAAAATATATATATTTTTAAAAAATGTAGTAAAGCTGGTTCAACCCTAATTTCCAATACGTATTTGTCCATAAGACCATTAAAATATTGTAGTGGTGAACATGGTGGTGTCTTCCCGACCCTGTATCCCTTCCTCCTCTCCCTATCTTCCCCCAGACCTCCTCAGCCCCATGGAGCACTGGGAAAATCCCAAGGAGCCCAGTTCTGAAGAGCACGCTCTGTACACCACCTTCTCAATCACGAGTGGCAACTGCTCTACTAACCCCAAGTGCTCAAATAATATACTCATGTAGTTCTGCTTTGTTTCAAATGCATATATCTCAAAAATTTCCCCACACACAAAAAAAATTATAAATGGGGGGAAAAAATTTCCCCACAATATCTTTAACATCTTTTTAAAAAATGTTTTTATTGATTTTAGAGAGGAAGGGAGAGAAACATCCATCAGCTGCCTCCTAAATATACCCTACTGGGGATCGAGCCTCAAACCTGAGCATGTACTCTGGGAATGGAACTGGCGACCTTTTGGTGTATAGGCCGACACTCCACCAACTGAGCCACACCAGCCAGGGCTTAGCATAACTTAATATCACCTCCAAAATTAGGCACTCGTTGGTGACACCCGTTTCAGAACCAGTCTGGCTCCATGAGTGCTCATTCCAAGAGATGCAGGTACAATTCACAGCTGCTCAGCAGGCTAATTGGCAAGCTACCGCTTTTGGCAAGCAGTACTTGTTCTTGCTTTTCAGGCGCTTTCCTGCTTGGTCTCTGTAATCACACCATCAGCAGGGACTGATGTGGCAGAAAGAGCCAAACGTTGCATAACAGGAAGTTCAGGTAGTGTGGTCCTCCACCCAGCTTGGACCTATTCCTAAATGTTTCAGCCTACCCCATCTCTTACCCACTTGCTTCTCGCTGTATAAGGTGATTCAACAAACCGTGTGACTTGAGCATCTTTATTTGATTTCTGAGCCTTTCTGCACCATGATCTTGTCTAGGATAGCTTGCCTGGTAGGATGCATCATGCTAATGTCCCACGTTATGGATTAAAATCCAGGCAATCTGATTCCAAAGACTGCCCCTTTAAGAATTATGCCATATAGGCTCCTTAAAGAAGTCATACATGCACAAAATCTAATTTCCAACAATGGCAGTATTTTATTCAGAGGAGAAAAGGGTACTTTATTAAAAACCAGGTAGGAAGATGGGTATTTAAGTCCATAAAAGGAGTCACAAAGAACCTGGGGAAAACAAGACATTCTAAAGTGAGGTAATAGCCCTCGCCGGTTTGGCTGGGTGGATAGAGCATCAGCCCATAGACTGAAGGGTCCCGGGTTTGATTCCAGTCAGGGGCACACACCTTGGTTACAGACTAGATCCCCAGCCCTGGTTGGGGCACATGTGAGAGGCAACCAATTGATATGTCTCTCTCTCACACATGGATGTTTCTCTCTCCATATATATATATATATATATATATATATATATATATATATATATATATATATATATATATATATATATATATACCCTTCCTTTCCACTCTCTAAAAATCAATGGAAAAGTATACTTGGGTGAGGATTAACAAAAAAATAATAAAATAAATAAAGTGAGCTGTAGCCGGTTTGGCTCAGTGGATAGAGTATCATCCTGCAGACTGAAAGGTCCCAGGTTCGATTCCGGTCAAGGGCATGTACCTGGGTTGCAGGCACATCTTTGGTGGTATAATAGGTGTGCAGGAAGCAGCTGATTGATGTTTCTCTCTCATCAATGTTTCTAACTCTCTATCCCTCTCCCTCTCTGTAAAAAATCAATAAAATATATTTTAAAGAAAAGAAAGAACCCTGACTGTTTGGCTCAGTGGATAGTGTTGGTCTGTGAACTGAGAGGTCCTGGGTTCAATTCCGGTTAAAGGCATGTACCTTGGTTGCAGGCACATCTCCAGTGGTGGGGGGGAGGGGTGCAGGAGGCAGCTGATCTTAACTCTCTATCCCTCTCCCTTCCTCTCTGAAAAAAAAAAAATCAATAAAATATATATTTTTTAAAATAAGAGAGGTAATGTATAATGAGATACAATATACATTAAATATACCAATTAGAATTTTTGGTAAAAGTAGCTTTCTGAAGAAGCCTACAAAATAATGGCTAACTCAATACTTATGAACATCTTTAAGAATCAGATTATAGTTTCTAAATACAATTTTCTACTAAAAAGAACCAGGTTTCTTTTTTCTTTTTTTTAATTTTTGTGAGTTTATTTGAGCCTAACTGTCAACATATGCCGGGAAGCAGAACCTCAATGAATTGAGATAATGCTCCAAAGAATGGCAGGTTACATTTGTATTTATACACTGCAATCAAAGGAGGGACATAGGTGGGTTACATGAAATCCATTGGTGACGGATTAAGGAGTCGGGATAAAGCCAAGCGGTGGGAAACCCCTGGGATTGGGTAAAAAGTAAAATGACGGACACATATTTAGGTGGGTGCAGGAACAATGAACATGATTATGAAGGAATTTGAGGCATCGGTCCTTGTGCCCACCCCATTAGGTTGTGCCCCACGGGCTCCAGCAAAAAGGGAAGCTGCTTTAAACACTATTTATAGACGGAAAGGATAATGCACCTACTAAGATCCATCGTGAGCTTTCTAAATACATATAAAACGTAAAACTTGAAAGAACTGGGCTTGTGGTAGAAGGGTCTCTGAGCTTCTTTCCCGATCTGGCTGCCCATCCCCGTTCACCTGCGAACGCCGGGAAAATGAAAAAGTCCAGCCCTCAGTGGGTGACAGCTGGCCCCAATGGACCCAGCTTGGGGAAGGCAAACCCAGAGATCCAGCAGCAGGCGGCACCCCGGTCACCATGCGGCACCCGGGTCACCAGGCGAGCCATGCGCTCAGGCCGAGCTGCGCCGCCAGCAGCAGCGGGAGCAGGAGCCCGGGCGCGGGCGCGGCGGCGGGGGCGCGCAGGCAGGCGGCATACGCGTCCGAGGCCACCGCGCGCATGGCACACACGTGCTCGGCGCGGCACCCCTGGTCGCAGGCCCGCGTGTCGTAGCTGACCGAGTTGTACACGTAGTAGCGCTGCAGCGCGCCCAGGTCGCCGGCGATGCGGCCCAGCGCTTGGTGCATGGAGCGGGCGCCCGCATCGGGCACCGCGTAGGCCCGGGTCAGCTGGTACTCCAGCTCCCAGCGCGCCGTCCCCTGCGCAGCGTTCGCCTGGCTCAGGTTCAGGAAATAAGTCATCGCGTCCCTCAGGCTCAGCGTGGCCCGGTCGTATTCGAACAGCCGGATGCCCGGGTTGTTGGCCCCGTTCACCACGCCGGGTAACGTGGTTTTCCACGGGCTGACCCCCGGGGTGAGGAACAGGACGCTGATGGGGGCGCCTGCATCGTCGTAGAACATCCGAAAGCTGTCCAGGTGGTGGTGCCCGAAGAACTGCCCCGCGATGACGCGGTGATGCCTCTGGACCACCTGCAGGTACCTCTCGTTGAATCCCTCCCGGAACCACATCTTGTGCATTTTCTTCTCGAAGAACCCCGGGGGCACGTGGCCGAGGATGTACACCATCTCCCCAGCGCTGGACGCGTGGCTCAGCTCGTCTTCCAGCCACTGGAACTGCTGGGCAGGGTCGGCCAGGCCGGCCGTCTGCTCGTTGTTGGCGTAGTACAGGTTGGTGTTGAGGACCACGATGCGCCCCGCGGTCCCCGGCAGCTTCTCAGAATAGAACGCGCCTTCTTTAAAGCGAGCGATGGATTCGTTGTTGAGCCAGGGTCTCCACAGTTCCGCTATCTGATCGTAGATAGCGTTGCTCCCCGCGGGGAACTGGTTTTTGGGGTGAAAGTCGTGATTTCCCAAAGCAGCGTATACTTTGGTGTCTGGAAAGACCCCTCTGATGAGCTGGGTCAGGCGTTCCACCATGCCCAGCACCGCCGCCTCTCCCAGCCTCTCGTCTGGCACGTGAGGGGTGTCATCCCCCGTCCAGACGATGAAGTCTGGCTCGGGCTCGATCTCCTTCATGGCGTAGACGGAGGAGTTGATGAGGGCCCAGGGAGCATCGCAGAGGTAGTCACCCCAGGGGCCTGCGTTGTGCACCGGCTGGGAGCCAGCTGACGGGCATACCTGGAGGGGGTCTGTGGACACCTTGTAGTCAGGGTCAAGGTGCAGGTCCGAGATGTGCCAGAACCTCCCCGCTCCAGCCCTGGCGACTCCCCAGTGGGCCAGGAACACCAGCAGCGTGAGCAGGCTCATCCTTGGGGCTTGTGTCCCAGGGAACGTGGGATTTTTTTCCAGGAGCTGTTGTTCGAGCCTCCGGCTTCCTAAGTAGGTAATGGTGGCTGCTCCCCTGAGCAGAGCTTCCTGTCCTGTCACCTGGTGGTTCCAGACATGGAAGCCTCCTCTGGCTTTCCCTTTGCCCAGCAGGGCGTGAACTGGGCGCTTCTGAGGTGCTTCGCCAGCCAGACCTTTGGACTCTGAAATAGAAAGCGCCCGTCCCGCTGTGATAAGCTAGGAAGAAGCTCGGAATATTCCAGGACAAGTCAAGAACCAGGTTTCTTGAAGAAACGACTAATTCCGGTTCTGAAATAGGAAATATATTATATATATATAAGGAGCCCTGGACCATCTTATCCTATCAGAAAGCAAAGACGTTATCAATGACTAACAGAGCCATGTCCAAATGAGGAGCAAACGAGAAGACCTTCCCACTGACCAAGGAAGGGACAATTTCATTATCAATAAGAACAGCTGTAATACATGAAAACACATTAAGTATTTGTAAATAGTAAGTTTAAAATTATACATTAAACAATCTCATTGGTCATTTTTGGAAAATGCTAAAGAACCAATTCATTATTTTATTTTATTTATTTATTTAAATATATTTTATCGGTTTTTCACAGAGAGGAAGGGAGACGGATAGATAGCTAGAAACATCGATGAGAGAGAATCATCGACCAGCTGCCTCCTGCACACCCACTACCAGGGATGTGTCCGCAGAATCAAACCCAGGACCCCTCAGTCTGCAGACCAACACTATTCACTGAGCCAAACCGGTATCGGCCAATTCATTATTTTAAAAACTCATAAACATCCATAGCTGGTTTGGTTCAGTGAATAGAGCGTCGGCCTGCAGACTGAAGGGTCCCAGGTTCAATTCCAGTCAAGGGTACATGTCCAGTTGCAGGCTCAAGGAGGCTTGGAGGAGGCAACCGATCAATGGTTCTCTCTCATCACTGATGTTTCTATCTCTCTGCATCTCCCTTCCTATCTGAAATCAATAACAACATATTAACATGTTAGGCGCCATGTCAGTCACCAGTGACTGACTATACTTTCCTCCGTACCTCCTCCGTCACTGGTGCCACCAGCGGTGAAATCAGATATTTCGGGCTAAGGGGAAAGGAAGACAAAACGGGCTTGGCGGTTAACATGTTAAAAACAAACAAACAAATGAACAAATAATCACTGTAGGTACAAGAGTACCCACTGAAGCTAATTAATTTGTAGTTTTTAAACTAAAACCTGAAGGCTGGACCTCATTACTTTGGATTGTTGAACATTAAGATGGAGACTATTCTGTTCTGTACTGTTAGTAGTTTACTAAATTCTATAAAAGCAACAGAATAGAGAAGAATGATTTAACTGTACTTTTAACCAATTTTTACTGCAGATTCACAACCTCAGGTAACCGTGTAATAAATGTTAACGAATGATGACAAAGATAGAGAAAAAGGCATCATCATACATAGTTAAACAAAACTATTTTATTCTGTTCTAACAGATTGCAGCCTATTAATCATTTGTGTTCTTTCTTCTAAGGAAACCTCCATTAAATTTGCACTCATTTGTTTTACAAGGGTCATTATGGGCCATTATTTCTATATATTTGTGTTAATAACTGCAGGAAAAAAATATTACAGCATAAAGTATTTTTAAAAGGACCAAGCAATTTAAATAAAAGGTCATGATCTTTACTTCTCCCTTGTAGGTTTATTTTAAATTATCACTTTATCCTGCATAAAGGGATTTTTCAAATGGCATGGGACTTCCCATTCTAATAAACTTTTTTAGAAAAGGTCATAAAAAGAACTGACTTGCTTACTTTGCTTCCTACTCTATTATTATCTCTCCTGTCCTATGGGTGTGGAGATTAACCTATTAGCTCAATGCTTTATTAAGTCAATTCATGGTAACTGCCGTGGCTATATTATATAAGCCACTCCAGGATAAATGGGGGTTGAAAGCATATTATATTAATTATACTCTTCCAAAGAAGGACAGGAAAATGGACTCTAAAATGGAAGAACTCATAGAGAACAGGTGACTAAAAGTCTGCTCCTAATTTTCAGGTTTTCTTCTTCTCATTATTAATTTTTTAGAGAAAGGGGAAGGGACAGGAAGAGAGAGAGAGAGAAACACTGTTGTGAAAAAGAAACATCCATGGGCTGCCTCCTGCACGCATCCTACTGGGGATCGAGTCTGTAATCTGGACATGTGTCCTGACCAGGAATTGAACCCTTGACCTTTGGTACATGGGACGAAGCTCAACCAACTGAGCACAGCCCTGCCAGGGCCCATTTATCAGGTCTTAAAGGGTATGCACTTGGGAATGGTCACACCAAGGATATATATTACTCTTTCCCCCCCATCTTTGAAGTCACCAGTATTCACACATAAGGATAAGTTCAAGAAAACAGAAATCCCAGTGCTGCCAGAAGGTTGTGCAGTGTTAAATATCACTTTTGTGAAGCCCAGCCGCTGTAGTTCAGTGGTTTAGTGTTGACCTATGAACCAGGAAGTCACAATTCAATTCCCAGTCAGGGTACATGACCAGGTTTTGGGCTCGATCACCAGTAGGAAACATGCAGGAGGCAGCCAATCAATGATTCTCATCATTGGTGTTTCTATCTCTATCTCTCCCTTTCTTTCTCTGAAATCAATAAAAACATTAAAAAAATATATATCACCATGAAAGGCACTGTGCTAATTGTTGGTTATAGAGGAATATGAAACATAAACATTATTCTCAGAAGATTTCCACAATTAATAACTAATTTTGATTAAGTGCTTCTCATGTACTGTGTTCAGCACTGTATGTGTATATCTTATGCAGATATAAAGAGAAAGATCTTCATATAGATATAGATATAGATATAGATATAGATATATAGATATATAGATATATAGATATATCCTAATATATAAAAACCCAGGGTCCGTAGCATCCAAAATGACTGAAGGCTCAACCAACCAGAAATCAGTGCTGCTGAGGGGGCTGCAGATCAGGCCTGAAGAGAGGCCTGGAAAGAGAAACAGGGTCTGATCCTAGTCTCTTAGGCCTCTGCTGGGGCTGCTTATCAGGCCTGTTGATAAGCCCAGAGACACTGACTGGCATAGAAACCAACCAATTAGAACCTAATTTTGCCGAAACTGGTTTGGCTCAGTGGATAGAGTGTTGGCCTGAAGACTAAAAGGTCCCTGGTTCGATTCCAGTTAAGGGCAGGTACCTTGGTTGCGGGCACATTCCCAGTGAGGAGTGTGCAAGAGGCAGCTGATCCATGATTCTCTCTCATCAATGTTTCTGGCTCTCTATCCCTCTCTCTTCCTCTCTGTGAAAAATCAATAAAATATATATATTTTTAAAGAGAACCTAATTTGGGTAAACTGCGAAGGCAGAACCTAAGATGGGGGCTGAGGAGGGGTTTTAAGGGCAACAGTTGTCTGGTGTAAGGTGTAAGAAAGTTCAAATTTTTAATGACTGGTTTGGCAGTATAGTGCACATAGCTGGTTATCAGTTCAGATATAGGGATTATGTCCTACTGAAAAAGGATCTCCCCCCAATTTAATCAAATATATATATATATATATATATATATATATATATATATATATATAAATTTTGTGCATAAATTTTGTGCACCAGTCCACTAATATATATATATATATATATATATATATATATATATATTCACTAAAAGCTTCTGTACAATATATATACAGTACAGAAGCTTTTAGTGAATATGTATGAAGAAATTGAAGGTCAGGGAAATTCAGTAATTTGCTCAAGGATACACAGCGGGTTAAGTATTGGATCTGGGTTTGGAACCTTGACAGTCTGTCCCTAGAGCATGAGCATTTAATTATTAACCTTCCTCTCCATTGCAAGTTTGATCAAGAGACTGTGCATGTTTAAAAAATAAGGAAAAAGAAAAAGAAGAACAAGAAAAAAAAGAACACTTACATATACTAGTTAAGATGCACAGTCGGGTATGTTAGAGATTTTGGCTTTAGTCCTCAACAGTCAATTCTCTATGTGCCTCCTTTTCTTCTATCAAATGGGAGTTATAACACTTACCTACCTATCTTATGTAACCTATCTTATGCAGTTATTATGATAACAGATATGAAAATGCTTTGAAAGGATAAATCTTACACAAATACAAAGTGCTGCTTTTTTCTAAAGTGCAGAGGACCCACATCAGTCCACTGTCTTTGTGGGGTCAAGGTCTAGAGCAGGGGTGGGGAACGTCCATAGAAGGCCTTCAAAATCATGTGGTCTGCCCCTGCCAGGGCACTCGGGGTGAGTTAATTAAATGTTGGACCAGATATAGCAGGCTGATTTTTAAGTTGATAATTCGGTATGGCCCCCGAATGATGTTATAAATATCCAAATGGCCCTTGGCAGGAGGAAGTTTCCCCACCCCTGGTCTAGAGTGATGTTTTAATTCAATAGATATTTATTGAGCATCTACTATGGACCCAGCAAGTGCTTGGCATTGCTTGTACAGCAGATGAGCAAACCAGGATGGTTGCTGCCTTTGTGGAGTGCATAGTCTCAAGTCAAAGACAAACATTCAACAAGTAAGTACACAGATATGGGTACAATTCTACACTGTATCTTGAAAGAAGTAAACACCTTGTCAGGGAACAAAATAAATAAAAGTGGACTTGGAGGAAATGACTTTCATATTAGTGGAGGGAAGAATTCAAAGCGTGGGGTGGGAGGTATAATGTCTGAGTCAAGGAGGGAGACATATCAGCCCAGGGCTGGGTCCTGCATGACCTTGGGGGCCCGAGGTTTGTATGTTGTGCCAAGTGCAATGGGAAGTCGGTAATGGCACGGTCAAAGAGTTGAAGGTGTTTGCAGAAGTGATGTGAGGGCTGGATAAGGGGTTAGTGAGGAGAGAGGGGGACTGCAGGATGGAGAGAAACTTCAGGTCACCGGACCAAAGGCTTTAATAAGGTGCAAGGAGTGCTTTTGGAGGGTTACTTGAGAACGGGGAAGGACAGGGGAGTGCGTCTGAGTGGGTGAGGAAGGCAGAAGTTTCCAGTCCATGTTATGATCATGGGAGTGTGGGGGGGTGACAGGGAAGTGTAGCTGCAGATGTTAAGCGAGAGATCTAAGGCTAGGACAACCTGACTGAACTGGGGCGAAAGTTCCAACTCAGAGAAGGCTCAAGCTGTGCGTTTTTGTACAGGGCTGACCCCTGCTGGTGGTTTCTGGAA